TTTCAAACGCATTTTTTTGGCGCTCGGTCGGACTTTGACACTAAGTAATGCACAGTATTCAGTAGAGCGAAGCTTAAACTTTTTAGTACCTCTTCTGATTTCTACCGATGCCAAGACGTGTTTGACCTGCACATCAAAAAAGGAAACCTTTCCAACAATAAAAATTACAACTTTTCTTCCTGCGCCTATTTTTCTGTGCACTCAAGAAATTTCGTCCAAATCATGAGTGATCTGATTCAGAAACCTGTTAACCTCTGACACGCGGGAGCGCTCGAGTTCTGCGACTTGCGCTCAGGAATTACAAGCTGTCGAACTTGCCTTTGACTGCAAGTCTTTTCGCACCTGGCGTTTCTTCTGCGGGGTCGCCACGCCTGGACGGTGGGTCCGAAAGATGTGCAAGGCATTACCCCAACTATGTTCCCAGTAATCAAGGATTTGGTCCTTTCTGTGCAGAACTAGAAGACTTCAAAGTCACTCACTCGAAAAATGGTGCATTTTTCAGGGCAAAAAATGGTCGATTTTTCAAACTTTCTGGAAGAAAATTTTTTGCAGGTGGTCCTACAAAAAAATGAATAGTCCCCATAACAGCCCCAGCAAACTTCTATATAACTACAGCATCTGGCCTCTCCAGCTCTCATCATGCCTGAGATAATTTTGCACAAACAGGCCACTTTTAGCGACGACCTTTTTCCCCTCTGCGCATGCTGGTGGACCGCAGTGAGGTGTTGAGAAGCCAGCAAGACAAATATATGTTGTGGAGAAAATTGTCTTTGCAATGAAGTTTGTAGCTTCAAAAAAGATTCAATCTGCTTGAAGTTACAGCGATTTGAAAAAAAAATTTCGCAAGTGCCCGGGAACTTTCTTTACAACCTAATAAATGGAGGTAAAGATGTAGATCCATGACATCCACCCAAGAAAAGGAGAGCAGTTAGAGCAAAGTGCTGATGTTCCTTCCTCCACTGAACAGTCCAAAAGCATTTCTGGTAATGTTTCTCACTCACTCACTCAACTCACTTTCGCCTATAAATGTGTTCGCAGGTTGGATTGGATTTGAGTTTCAAAAACTTTGAAGGCAGTGTGGGGATAATTGAGCTTTGGGATTACAGTGCCATGCGAAAGTGGGTCCCCGCGAAAAAGGCATCGCTCATGTGAGAGGCCATAACGTTCAAATAGAGACTTGAAATACTTTGCAAAGTTGGAAAACTTATGTTCCGAGGCGGGCTCTCCAAACTACTTGAATTACTGGGCTGGAGGCATGGTCTCTGCGTCTCAGCCTTGCCTGGAACTGTCAAACTTCAATTTACAAGGCTTTGGGAAAGCGCGAAACGTTCTCGCAGTTTCCGCGCTTCCTAACATGAATTTTCGGGTACAGCGTTGCGAGTATTACCAGGTAAGTGAATATTCTAGAAACTAAGTTCTTGAATGAACACTGCTCTCAATACACTAAACTTCGTAGCCGATCCTGCTTGTAGTAACCATTCTTTCAGTAGCAGACTGCAAAACTATCGCACGAAATGAAATGCTCTGCAGCTGTTTAAGATCTCTACTGATCTTGTGCACTTTTGATGCTTGGACTAGTTTTTCAATTTCATGTAGTCGCGCTCTTACCTGGATGAACACAAAAGCGTTCCATTCTGCGCTTTCCGCCCGGATTGTGAAAAGTGGTGGTATAAGTGTGTGGGGTAACACCAGATTTACAACCCTGTGACTGAACAAAATGATGAGTCAAGCAGGAAATGGTCAGAACTTAACCCAGCCATTCCAAGCAGCCTGTGTATCATCGAAATCGCCTTGAAACGCTTATTTCAAATACATGCTTATTACTGCCAAGCTATCATAGGGAAAGTTAGGAGCGTTTGGACAAAAAAATTTGATTAAGTTTCAACGAATTTAGGTCATTGAAAGACAGCCTGGGCCCGTAGTAAACCCCCTGATGTCGTGAAGTATAGCTCGGAGCCTGCAGTGAGATGTGCTGACTATCGTGGAGCGAGGCAGGCAAAACGGTATCCTTTACCATTGCTGTCGGATGCAATCAATGCGGAGCGCCAGATTAGTCGCACTTATCGCTATATGTTGCAACATATCGCGACACGTAGCGTCACAACGACATGTCGTGACGAACGAGAAGGCGAAATACTTTGTTCAACATGGAGACGCAGAGACATAGCGCGAGACTAGAGCTCAACTACACCAACCTCGCATTAGGAAAACACATGCACACGATTCTCTGTATCGCACATCAACTGCAATCAATATCAACAGCTGATTAGCAATCAGAGCGCCAAACAATGTGCCCTCCTATGTTTTCTAAGTAGTCCAGCTGCACGCCCTGGTGTTCAGGAAAGGTGAGTTTATTTCGACAAAAGGTATATCAGACCTAGTATATTTGGTCATATTTTATCAAACTTGCTATTTTCCTTTTATTATTAACACGATGCATCTCATTGAGCACCATATCTCCTGCTCATGCCAAAACTCCTCAATTTTTTTCCATCCACTTTCTTCAGTATACGCTGTGCTATTTTTTAGCTGTGCGCCTCCTGTTTCCCCTTTTTTTTTTGAACGCAGGGACTATCCGGCACTATGGCTACGATTGGTTCGTAGTTGCCCTGAGTAAAATGATAACTATTTTATATACTGCTTATTCCTGTGCATTCTCAATGTGATGTGTTTTACATACCATTTTCTTTTCACTGCCAGGAAATTTCCAAATTTAGGCTCATAAATATGAGAATTCAAAGGGCCAGCAACTTACAGAATGTTGGTCGAGGCTTCGTACTCCCGACATCAACCACATTGACGTCCGGCACTGACACTGCGCTATCTGCACTGCAAATCAACAGTGCTTGCATGTGCAATTTTACGGCGGTTGCGGAAGCAGTAACTACTACAATGCCAATGTTTACTAAGCACATTGCGTGGAATATCGCACGCTTTTTGGTCATACTAAATTACCTAAGCTCCTCTGCTTGCTCCAGGCCCTTTTCTTTGTAATACATTTCGAGATTGCCTAGTCATGGAGCACTACTGTGGGCGCTGTAGTCGCGGTTATTAGTGGTTCGATCGTTTATGCGTTAATTTTGCGGCGCCCTCCGGATAGCTCGCTATAGTTTTGCGAAATACTTCGAACTATTACGACATAGTCCTCTATGTTGTGACGACCAAAGGCCGTATTCATCATTGATACCTTGAGGTAAATCCTGCTCCCAGGTAGTTTTATCACTCATTATCAGTAATCATCATTATCACCTCAAGATATCAATGATGAATACGGCCTCAGGAGGGGCTTATTACGGGCCCTAATAGAGCGAATTTACATTGACTATGGGTATTTCATTTACAAGGAAGAAACACACTCACCAGAACCCCAAATAAGTGTTTTTAAAAACTATCTCGTGAAACATGCGCACAGAATATTGACAAATCGCACATTTGAACGCTCATAACTCCGTCTAGATAGATGCTTGATAGATAAAAGGCCTGTATCTGGAAACAGTGATTTAAGGCGAGTCCGATGATATAGAGCTGTTTGGATTGACAGGGTTGATTTCTAACCGTTTCCTGCTAAGAAAATTGTAAAATATTCGTTCTTACACTCCAAAGTTTAGTGCGTGCTGCCATTAATGAGCAGCACATCATGTGTGTCATTAATACAAAGAAAACTATGAAATAAATGCTTTCATCAACAACGAAGAACATCACAAAGTGTAGAACTTAAGAGTGATAGGCATGAAAAGAACGACGTGTAACGAAGGTAATAAACCATGAGCGATGCATTTACAGACTACCTTCAAACTTCCTGCCGTGCTTTTTAAGTTGTGTTGTGCGATCTTATTGTTCAGCATTTGTGGCGAAATGGTAGTTATAATATACTTGATAATTACTCAATTGAGAAAACAATGTAAGAGCCTGCAAAAAATGTTTCACTGCGACTTGCAAGGAGAGAACAAAAGCACGAAGCTCAAAGCCAGCAGGCAGGTTTTTGACCTCTGTTTAGTCTGTGAGACCATATGTTGTACTGTCTAAAATCACACTTCCTACAATCGAGAACGCTGCCCCTGTATCTCAAAACTCTTCTATAGTCGACCTCCCCCACTAGACACTCAGTGGACGAATTTGAATTTGAGAAGGAGCAGACGGCTAGAGTCAGAGCGCGGCAGACGCCGCACCAGTCAAAGTGTGCGCATATGCTGTTTTTTCATTTCTCTTCGTATTTCCTTGTTGTTACTCTTATTGCGGCATTGTATCATATCAGATCGAGATTTTGTTACCGGTGATCGTTGCTCCATGCTGTTATTATCGTTTGCCTTATATTTTTTTTCAGGTAAAACTGGGAATACGACGCAGTTGAAGATTTTTTAATGGAGTGTCACTTATCGCCCTTTTCCGGTGAAAAAACACATGCACAAGCGTTGCTTTCGTGAAATGTGAATCAATTTCTCAGCTGAGTATGCTCTCCAAACTTTTTTTAGACCCGAATCTTTTCAAAAAGTATAGCTGAGTTCTTGGATGGTGCATCCGACGATATCCGCGCCATACGTATATTTTTAATTGCACGGTTGTTGTTGGTTGTTTGTTTAGCGCTTCCCTTCTCTGCGTAGCCCAGTCTTCACTACGTCGTATTTCCAGCTGTACCTCAAAAAGAACATAGGGCAAAGATAATAACAGCATGAAACGACGATCACCGGTTACAGAATCTCGATCTGATATGCTACATTACCGCAATAAGAGTAACAACAAAGAAAGACGAAGAGAAATGAAAAAACAGCATATGCGCACACTTTGACCGGGGCGGCGTCTGCCGCGCTCTGACGCTAGCCGTTGCTCCTGCTCAAATTCAAATTCGTCCACTGAGTGTCTAGTGGGGGGAGGACGACTATAGCAGCCAGTTGATGTTGAAACAAATGTAATCGTGTGCGGCAAACATTGCTTTGAGAAGTATGAGCAGTTTATTCTTGGATTTTATGCTGTTTCCACTTGAAGATGAGATCGTTTACAGTACTACAACATTCCATCTGACCCTAATCGACTGAAATTGAGCTCATAGTCTGCTGCAAAAGCTGCTCATTCGGCCGAATACTGTATACCATGTGACGTCGTATACAAGCAATAATAACTTAATCACAAATTCTTATAAACTTTTGATCTTGACTGCCTTCCTTTTGAACGTCGATTCTAAAGGAGCCGGTCGAAAACAGGAGTCTCAAATACAATGCTTGTCGTGTGCGTGGAAGTGAGAAATTACTTGCATTACGTTGCTCGCTTTGACCGTACATGTGTGATCGCTATGCGGGTAACCTGATCCTGCAAATGAGTCGCATTACAATAACAACATGTTGTGCTGGAAGCTTTTGACAACTTGGCAGAGTGGATAATCCATCAAAAAATGCACCCAACTTGTGCGATTCGCACAGAAACTCAGGCTGTCCCGCCTTCGACAACCTACTTGTGCATTCAGCTGACATCGTGCAACTTGCAGCACTTTGCTTCGGACTTCGCTATTGAAAAGAAAATACGTCCATGGGTGTGTACATGACAAAATGAAATTCATTATCACAAACACAAACGGGGCAAAGGGAGTTTTCTGAAAAAGTTGATCACTTTCGGAGTAGCTCAAGACCAATGGACGCATACTTTTGTGAACGGCAGACAGCTGCATAGGTGAAATACAGAAACTACCAGAAGAGAAAGTACTAGGCCATTGATCTGCACAACAAGCCGTATAGCCTGTCTTCTCATCCTACACAATGAAAACATTTGTTCACGATATATTCGAAGGCTCTTTTATGATTGAATATGCATTCATCTTCTTGGTTGTTTGAGCGTAATCCACGTAGACTACGCTCAAACAACCAACGAGAAAATTACAAATATGCCAAGATTTTTGAATAATCGAACTTGGATGCTTATAAGATGCATTGTTGTGTGTTGTCCATGCAAATAACAAGTAAGAGAACTGGTTGCTGTGCTACTTTATCGAAAAATCAATTGCTTTACCAAGGCGCACACTTCCTGATGTGAAAAAATATGAGAATCTAACAGATCGAAGATAGGAGGGTTGATATAACGGCAGATACGAATAATGCAAGATTCATACTCTGAAAGCACACCTCCTCGTGAAATGAAAAATTTGAGAATTTAGAATGAGCTTGCGCTATACTAGCGAATCGATTGTTACGAATTCGAATCATGAACGAATCGAGTGATTCGTTAATAGGCAGATTCATGCAGCTTATCGTCTGAATGTTTTGTTCCATAAAGACCTTTCCGCAACAACGTTTAAATGCCCTCAAATGCTTAAGCGGTTGATTTTAGACAAAATTTACTGCATGCAAAAAATGAGAACGCCATGTTTATGTAAGGTGTAAGCGCAAAGTTTATTCTATCATGTAACAAGTGTTCACCTAAGCGAACATATGTCACACATAGGAGCTCCTAAATATTAACAATTGTTTCTTTTAGAAATTCATTCCAGGTAACTGTGCATACTTGAAAGACACAAATTCTTTTTGTGCAGATTCAAGAATTTGCGCTGCAACAATAACGGTACCGCGAAATTAGCTTGATCTACTACAAGGCGCGAGTTTTCCATTGAGTCGAAGGTTGCATTGATACTGGCCAGTGATGGAGTTGAAACCAAAAGAGAGATAGACCAATGTGCCGTTACCAAGATATACCATGGAATCAATCCCATCAACTGCAAATGATCGTTTTTCACAAAATGAAGAATTGACGTTCACAAAAAGACAAAAAGTGATTGCCGGTGCCTAGTTTTGAACACCAACGTGCGTGGCGAGAGTTGGGGCCCGATGCTTCTTGGTGCTGATAAGAGCGGCAGCTCTTTCGCAAGTTTTATGAGCTTTTGAAGTCAGTTCTAGTTGAATCATACTCTGCATTTTTGAAAAAAACATGAACTGACAAGACAATTCTTGAACGGAAGTGAAACCCTGTGGTTTTCCTTGACGATTGCCCACTCATGCTGTGTTCAAGGCACCTTGGGCAGACAGCTTTTGCATAGCCTTTTCATATGACGCTAATAGAAATAAATGTCATCCGTATCAAATCATATTTGACATAACAAAATTCAATCTGTCATGACACCAAGTGCTTTCCTACCCTTTCAACCTTCGTCCGTCCCTTGCAAATGGTAACATATCGGTGCATTGAGATCAGTGTGATGCCAGTGCATCTGACACTGACGCTATAACAACCTGATGCAAGTATGCCGTTAGCCAAAAAATAACGATGTTCCCAAAAGAATTCGTTAGCTATTCCGGTAGCACGAAGACCCCCATAGAAATTGCATATTAGAAGCGACAAGATGTCAGCTGCTCCCTAAAAAAACGCAATCGGAAAGCAGAAGAAAGATTTTTTTTCAGACAATCTTATAAAAGCTGAATGCCCGTTTGTATGTAAGTCTGTATGTCTGTATGTACTTATGTTCCGAATAGAAAATTTTATTTCTGAAGTCGGGGTAGCGTGTCGTAGGCTAATTTTCGTTATCGATCAATATTGATTTTATCGATTATTATTTTTTTATTTTTTGGAAGGTTACACCAACGGGACTGGGAGTTGGCAGAGAGAGGAGGGGTAAGTGAGCATGCTGATTACTAACACAGCGGGAATACGGAATTGCATGTAGAAGTGGGCACAGGGAAAGGTTGTACAGGGATAGGGATGGGCCTTTATCATAGTCTTTTGACAGGGCCGAGCGCAGCCGGGTAAGCCAGCTAGTATGTTAAAGCTTCGTCCTCTGCCGGCGTTCGAGAAAGAACGACAGCTTTGATGTCAAGCTATGAAAATCTGCGACTATGGCTGGTTGCTGCAGGAAGTGGTGCCAGTATTCTGACTCTGAAGCAAGCGCTTTATCTACAGCTACTAGGCGTAAATATGGCACGCGCACCTCGTTTTCCAAATATTAATTGAAGGAAAATCAAAAGAAAGACGAAAAAAGGAAATATGTCGCAAAAAGCTATTACGAACAAGAACACTCCAAGAGCCACTAAATTACCTCATTCATTTGTTTCTGTGTTTGTTCTCTTACATTAACGCGATACCATGAGAAAAAAAACGCAGCTGTTAACCAACCTACACTTTACCGCAGCGAGGTAGACGACTACGCTTACGTAAAGTCTGCCTCGACTGTACTGATGTCAAGTGAACCGGATACGTGACGCTGTCACGTATCCTGCGCAGGCTACGACACCTTGGTTGCGATCTTATGAAGACATTTCTGGCAAGACTCACTAGTTTCCAATTGCGAAAGCCGGAAAGACATTAGCTCAACAAAGTTTGAAAACTCTAAAACAATATCTCCCGCAAACAAATCTTTTGAAAAAGGATGCGGCACCACTTCAAAAGTATAAAGCAGTAGGCGTAAAGAGACCGATGATGGTGCTGCTTTAAGCCTGTGACCATCGTTCGTCGCATGCCAAAAGTAAAAGCGTTGACCAATACGCCTGCCAACTAAGCCAAGAACAACAAAACGATCTGTGCACTTCTGGATTGATTTCTTAGCAGCGTCCAAGATTGGTACAGATATTTATTCCATAACCACAATATACAGACTGACGTTTCGGCAAACTCGCCTTCTTCAGAGTCTGAAAAGTCGAAAACACATGAGTGAACTATCCGATCAAACACCTTGTCGACTACAGAAAAGAGCCCAAACTTTTAGAAAAGCAACAGCGTCAACCAAAACGTGGGTGAGTCGAAGAGGATCGTGGGTGAGTCGAAATACATCTGTGATTATGTTCGATCTAACGCTAAGTCTAGGTTGCAGAAAAATTTTAAAATTTTAGTTGAACAAGAGCAAGGTCATACACAGGAGCCAGCTAGTGCAAACAGTTGTGGTTACGAAAGTCAAATCTGTGCTGCTTCCACTCTCACTAATACTATTAGTCGATTCCGGGTCTCGGTAATTGGTGCACCCATTTCCGATAAAGCGCTATCATTATTGGACCTTGGTCCTACTTTCGCACCTAGTCAATCTATAGGATCTCGGATATCGCGTAAGATTGTCGGCAGCCTGCAATATGTTCACGAACAGATACGTCAGCGAGCCAACGAGCGTGAAAGCGTAAGAGACGGCGAAACAGCTGGGGGGGAAAATATGGCCATTCATACCTTTTCCGCGTTTAGTTTATAAACCGCAGGAGGCTAATCAATCAGTGGATGCCAAGTTTCGAGTATTTGCTACCGGGCTCTTTTCAGTTCTCAACCAATTCCGCGAAAAACGGCAAAATAGTAATTTATCACCTTTTGCAACGCCGCGGTCTGCGTGAACTTCGCGACCTTTGTGCTGCTGGAGAGATCAAGGTGTCGGTCAGCGACAAAGGAGAAGAGTTTGTAATTCTCTCTCGTGATCTGGACATGGCTATCACCAAACATCATCTACAGGACACTACCGTATACGAGCCCGTGACAGCAAACGATTGCAGAAAGCAGTACCGCCGCTAAAACAAGGTATGGTTAGAGGTAGCTAAAGCGGAAGGCATTCCTAGGGCTACGGCTACACGTCTAAAAACCGATCTGCCCATGTGTCTGACTCTCTACACTCTTATCAAGACACATATGGTGTTCGTAGATAGTTTAACGTCCAATAACCCGCAAGATTTTAAGGTCAGGCCTATCATCAGCAGCGTTGGAGGTTCCACAGATAGGATTTCGTGTTTTCTCAATACCATCCTTTCTCAACTGCTCAAAACTTTTTGTAAAATTAGAGAAAAATTATGGGACATCTTTAGTACCTTGGTGTATTTAATCTTCTTCATGTAAAGTTTCTCGAAACATACTGCCTTATGACCAAAAGCAATTATTCGATCTGCAATACGAACATAAATGAAATATAAAGAAACTACTCCAGTTTATGTCTAAGTAGAATATACCGACGGATCATATATTGCAACATTGTAATATTGAGAAAAAATGCCGTATGTGCACTTTTTGCAGTTGTGCACATAGGAGAACTTGACGATGTGTTTGCCAAAGACCCTCTGCTATCTCAAAATCCTAAATCAATAGTATAATTACATTACGATCGATAATAAAAAAAGGCCAACGACAGAGTGCACCTTCTCAGATAATCGCCGGGGCAGGCGGCCATGCGATCTATGGGCGGGCGGGCACCGGAAAAATAGTTCACAGATTTCTTGCGGTCCGCTTGCAGATATCTGGAAGAATTTTAGCGAAATTTTGGAAGAATGCTTGGAGAACAATCGCCGTTTACTCATAGATTAGCTGCGGCGCAATGGCCGCATTCTCGCGGACTTTCCGCGAGAATATGCAAAATTTGGGCCGCACGGTCCTTTATGGAGGACCTCGCGGCCCCCAGGTACTTTCCGCTGAGAGAAAGTACCTCAAACTTGAGTAATTGAACCAACGATGACACCTCTGCCACATAGAGTTTTACCTGTGCTCGGCGTACGCCCGATAATGTGTAAAAAGAGTCCGAGCGCTTGCTGAAAGTTTGGCCAGCGCTCGTTGAAAGAAATTATTTGCCGAGCGCTTGCAAAAAATGCTGTATTGCTGCGCGCTGGCAGAATATGCGACTGTAAAGGAAGTGCCGCCCGCTGAAGGTTTGGCCACGCCCCAAAATTCTGCTGACTGCCTGCAGAAAAGCGCGAGTTTGCGGACCGTCTGCCCTCGGCGATTATCTGAGTTAATGTACAGTTAAGTTTGTCGAACAGACGTTTCAAGACCAGATGGTACCGAAAGCCGAGCAGCAAGAATATCTTAGTACCCCATTCTTCAGCACATCCGGCACGAATAAAAGCATCCATCTAGGTAACATGTTTAAAACGGCTGTGGGGATCTCTTCCGATAGAGACGAAAAGGTGCACTCGCTGGAACTTGCAAGATCCGTAGCAAGATCCAATGGATACAGCACAGAGACTCATCGTTCTCACAGATACCGGGTTCATCGTCCGCCTAGATCAAAAGCTGAAGATCAGATCCCATTCTGTCTACCATTCATCTCAGAAGAGTTTACTAGGGCCGTTCGCAAAGTGCTCCATCAAGCAGACCTCAACGATATGATAAGGATCGTCGACATTCCTCCCGCAAAGCTTAAACAGCAACTAGTACGTAACCGCGAGTACGACCCTCTTTGTACAACTCCCCATTGTGTGATTTGTCCGTTTGGCAAGCAAGGAGACTGTATGGTAACAGGTGTTGTCTACCCTATCACGTGTACAACATGTGGAGACACGTATATTGGCGAGACGGGCCGCTCCCTATGCGCGCGCATCAAAGAACACTTAGAGGTCTCAGCAAGGGCAATGTAGCTACTCCGTTAGACATGCATCGCAGGCTCAGCCATGACGACGCGGAGGTGGGGGTGCAGGTTCGAATCCTGGCGCGTGAACCCGAAATCCTAGCGCGCAAGACACTCGAAGCGTTTTAAATAGCCGCCCAAAATCCAAAAATCAACCGGAAGGACGAGTGCCTAGCCATTACTAACGAGCTGTCACCATATCAGAGCCTCTGTGGCTTTTGAATAATGAGGTCAGGTGGTCAGGACCGGATTACTAGATACGAAAAGTAAGACAGAACAGTTTTTGAGATAAGTGGTTTGCTTCCACTAAGTCTATTATCTGTTAAGGTGAGCATTGGCTTAATCTTGCGTTTTAGTTGACGCTGTTGCTTTTCTAAAGGGTTGGGCTCTTTTCTGTAGTCGACAAGGTGTTTGATCGGATAGTTCACTCATGTGTTTTCGACTTTTCAGATTCTGAAGAAGGCGAGTTTGCCGAAACGTCAGTCTGTATATTGTGGCTGTGGAATAAATTTCTGTACCAATTTTGGACGCTGCTAAGCAATCCAGA